TTTAATGTTGAACACAATGCAAATTCAATATAAAAAGTCATTACCTTTAGAACCCCATGCCCTACTTGGGTTTTTTTTTTACCATAATTTTTGTTTAAAGGACTAAAATAATTTTATGCTGATGTTTAATACTGCAATGGTGAGGTGTCCATTAAAAAAGCGATTTGCAAAATTTTCAAGGAAAGGGCTGCATTTGAATATTGTTATACATTTTCCTCCAAAAGGATAATTATTACATTATTAAAAATTTCTTGGTATTTAAGGACATTTATCAATAATTATACAAAAAATAATTTTTGAGTCTTTTGAATTTAAGGCAACAACTCACTTTATTACTCGTCTTCATACAACGTATTAAGCATAGTTTTCATACACAATATGTTTGTACATCATAGTTATTTTAATCTTATAAGTATTACCTGATTATGATTAAAGTAAAAAGGAAGTTAATTATATTATATCCCAAACTTCTCTAATATTCAATGAAAATATCTCTTGTATTGCTTCATTCATTTGTTGCAGAAGATGTTTTTTTAACTATAGATATTCTATCAATATTGTACTGCTTAAAAAAATGTCAAGATAATCTTAAATGGAGGCATTATGAGTACGTTCTACTAACTTGAGATGAGGATACAAAATCAGTTTTAAAAATCAACCAGGATTAAATATTGATAATTACATTGTAATGTCTGAATGCCACACTAATGATTTAATCATATTCTAAGAATATCATGGCTTCTCCATTACCGGAACCATAAAAGCAGGTGACCTCAATATAGTTGCAAGATTTTGTTAACTGTCTAGAAGTTATATTTATGAAAACCAAAGATCCCTTTTTTTAAAGGCAGTTTAATATATAATTTCTTTAAAATGTAAAAGAAATAGTTAACACACAATTTCACATTCTTTTCTTTAAGCATACTTATTTTCATAGATATCAATGTAGCCTGATCATTTACGCTTTTAGTTGGAAAACAACATTCGGTACAAGAGACACGAATTTTTGGAACCATCTAATAAACATATTTGATGAAAAGATGATTTTAGAATACAATAGTGGAATGCAAAATAACAATTTATTCTGACATCAACTGATAAAAGTTAAGTAAAATTCATCCTCATGTGAATTTTTTAGTTCTCTGAAAAAACTTGCATTGTCAGCATGTATATTTTCTTGGGAATTAGGTGAGTGTTTTGTAGTTTTTTCTTTTAACCTTTTTAATTAGCATAGTGTATCTGCATTTATTAAAAATAGTTCGATCATTTTAATAAGCTCTTTTGAAACAGATATTGTTGTATTATTAGCTGAATCAAATCAAAAAAGATTTACCGACAATCTAGATTATTTTAGTCAAAAAACAAAAAAACAAAAAACGGTAAAAAATGTATATGACGTATGGGGGAGAAGTTTATCTGTGCACATTTCCTTGAGTTCCAGAATCCCTTCCCGTCATTTTAACTATAAATAGTTGAAAGATGAGTAAAAGTTTTAAATAAGTAAATAAAAATAAATTTTAAATTATCAGGAGATAACCATATTTAAAAAATATAGACATTTTTGTTTCCGAATTATAGAAAACTTCTTTGCATCGGTAAACAAATTGCAAGTGTGATTTTTCTGCATTGCTAACAAAATAGTAACTCGCCCTTACCACTACTCCTACCAATTCAAGCAAAAGGAGAGTTCAACAAAACATACACATAGTGAAGCTACATTTACATCCAGAAGCAAAACAAGGACCCATCTCAAAAACTAACTTGGAAGGGATTTGTTTCATGGACTTTTGGGAAGGAACAAAGAAATTACTGTCCTATTTGGTGAAAATGTAAAAATGGTCAGGGTAACAAATACACATGAATACTTTTCTAATTTTCAGAAATCATTGTTTGGGTACCACTAGTCAAGAATATCAATTACAATGAATGTGATTTTCTCTGATGACCCACATCAATGTGGGTCTTTGAAGGTCTTTGTACAATGTAGTGTCAAACAAGAGAAGAGTAATTGATTCCTCGAAAACAAGTGTTAGTGTTATAGTTGCGGAAGGAGGGGATGGTACATGATTTCTTAGATTCATGGATAATGGGAAGTTTACAAGTATCAGGTTACTATAGAAATCTTAATGGATGATTTGATAAATGTATGTTTGAGGTTTGGGTTTCTGATATACCCTGTCCCTGTATATTCGAAGGTCCACAGCCCTTAATTGGTGTCAGCATGTCCAGTCATAGTTCCCTACATGTTATTCAGATGTGCTAAACACACAATGTGCACTTCTGCTATTTGCCCAGTACAACTCTTGTATGTCAGCTGTTCAATGTTGCATTTATTGCCCTCTAAAATGTACACAGAGGGAAGTTTTAGACAAAATGAAACTGTGCAACAGAAGGTGATTCCCAAATCAGAATTCCCTCATTATCTTAAAAAAGTATTCTTAGAAATTAGATCTAACTAGGAATCTGACATAATTTTTGGTTTCAGAGTGGCAGGGATTATCTCTGTCTGCCCGGAAAAATTATCCATCAAATTGTATATGACAAAAATGATTCATGGTGCAAATTGCAGTGGTGCAAAGTGCAGTCATTGACTGAATTTTTTGTAGATAGTGAAAAACATCCTCGTAGGGGAAACATTAAGCCAGGAACATGTTAACTCGTAAGACTCATCTGAGTTTAGTGCCAGGTATGGGAGTTGTCATCAGTGATCTTGAAACAGAGAAATTACTGCTTGAGGATATACAGGCAATTGCAGTTGAAGAGAAATAAGTGAAAAGTAATTATAACAATGATAGTTTTGATTAAGCTATAGATCAAGGCAAGTGAAGTGAAGATAAAGAATTTGATGAAGAAACACAGGAACATGAAGAATTGATAAGTAGATCATTTGTTTTAGTGAGATTTTCAGTAAAGGAAAAGGAACAGACATTTTGGCTATATGTAAATTCAGAACCAAACAATTCCTTGATCTTTTTTGAAAAAAATTATTTACCTCAAAAACCTTTAAAAACTGTGTGTGATGTGCTATGGGGAGTAATTTGAAGTTACATTTATGTCCAGAAACAAAGGGCCATCTCAGCATTTGCTCGAGGATCAGGGAAACTGAATGAAAACCTGATCGAGATAGGGTCATTGACACAGATGCCGAAGTACAATACTTGTTACAGGTACTTAAGAATTATACAATCCAAATGGCAAATAATACATTAAATGTCATGTTAAAATTAATATTACTTTCCTTTTGGATGCTCAGTATAGTCTCTAATTGTATAGAAACAGTTGTGCAGCAGAAAAGATTTTACTTGGGACTTACACTTTTGCATGGAATTTAATCGTTTAATGTCATCTGGCAGTATTTTAAAATAATGTACATGTATTATATGTGAATTTTTTGTAGTGAGCTGTTGATACGGTTACCTGATGAATATAATTACTACGTCGAGTGTTGTAGTTATAGATACCAGAGTTTGCTGGAAATATATTCCTGCCATTATGTCATTTTTGTCAAAAACCACTGATTCATATATGATGAGACAAGGTAATGGTAAAATACCTAGGTTAATGAAGAGAGGCTTACAAGAATCATGTGGGTGGAATTTGCTTATTCGCATAATTCTTTTTTGTAATCTAAAAGTTTGGATGTTATAAGATGTATTTCCCCAGAATATTATGCCATATCTGAGGCGGGATTTAACATTCGCGAAATATACACAACGTGCAGTATGGAGGCTGACTGAATTTGAAAGAATTTGGAAAGACCTAAAAGTTTTGTTACCTTAACATCAGTCAATGGCACACTGTTCATTTTCAGTCGAGTGAAGAGCTGTTTTATTGAAATGGAAAACTGCATTGGCATGGTTTTCTTTTCATTCACTATTAATTTGGTATTACGGAACCAGTTTGAAGTATCTGATATTTACAGTTTCTTTATTGCAAAGAATATTTGTATCATAATATATCATCCTGACAAAAAAAATTCTGTTTCTCTCTGAACTATGTGCACAAATTGAAAGATGAAAAAAAACCTGGTCAAAACTTGCCTCCTCACCATTTCAAGTTTTAAATATAGAATGTACTACTATTGTTAAATTTGATGTAGTTGCAAACATAATTATTATTATTATTAATGTAATTATTATTATTATTATTATTATTATTATTATTATTATTATAAGTAGTAGCATTAAAATAACATCTTCAAATGTTAAATTTTCTGCTACTAAAAATAATTATCTACTTTATAATATCCTAATCTAACTGTAACAAGTATTGTATGTCTAGGCGAATGACCCTATCTCAATCAGGTTTTGTTCAGTTTTCGTGGTCCTTTGAGCAAATGCTGAGATGGCCCATTGTTTGCTCCTGAACAGAAATGTAACTTTGCTCTCTCCTCCCAAGGCATCATATTGGCTGGTCATACATGATTGTAATTGTATATGTGACTCAGTAAATATTATTATTATTATTATTATTATTATTATTATTATTAATATTAATATTATTATTATCGTCATCATCTGCAAAGAGAACTGTTCTTTCATTTGTAATCTTTTCTCACAAAACTTGCTTTCTAATTGAACATTTAAATTGGTTCGTTAAACTTGGTTTGTACAATTTCTCAAAATTAATTCCTTTATGCCTTGTCACGTATGCCACAATATTTTTAAAATCTCAAAATTCATTTAGATTCATCCACATTAAAGTCTTAAAATCATTTTCAATGACAAATAAGTGTGATTGGAACCACTTGCAGTGTGTAAGTTACACCGATCAGCTTATTGTTGCTTTAAACTCCCCATGTATCAAATCTGTCCCTGATAATTTTTAATGCAACTATATTAATAAGTATAAATAATTATATATCCTGTAAATAGTAATTTTTAAAGTTATCTCATTAAAATTTAAAATATTGTAATATTAGTTTATCTCACCTGCTTTTGCAGTACATAAATTGGCAAATTAGAGCAATTACAGTTTGGTTGTTGAAGTCAATGACTTAGGCAGTTTTAATTATTGATGCAGAATCAATGCACTATTGGCCTCTCCTGATGGAATCCAACATTATATATTTTAAATTAACAGACTTTCTAAGATTAATTAGAGGAAAAATGTTGGCCTGGAGTTTTCCTTAAAGTTCTTAAATTGTAATTATATCACATGCATATTTCATTAACAGAAAAGAAGTATAAAAAGACGGGAAACATTTACTGAGAAAAATAAGAGGAATCTTCTTAGGTTGGATTGCAAACAATTTTATGGATTATTTTCTTTTTTCAGGCTGTCTGCCAAAAATTAGGCATTGACACAGGGGATCGACTGCAGACTAATTCCCGAAAGGTGAAGTTCCTCGTGGCATCATTACCTCCTGATTCAGCTTTTCCACCTTTTCAAGACTTTGATGTCGTTCACAACTACCTTCAAAGCAGTGGCCCACAGACACAAGTTCGTCTCCGCAAACGTGGCCAAAACGGTGAGATCTGTTGTGATTTTAAACATGAGTTGGCTGTCGTTTCACTACTGTGAAAAATTGATTCATGTGGAATCTACTTTCATGTTTCTAAAATAATGAGACTGTGCACTTATTGTTTCATTTCTGTATTAGCTTTCAAACATAACTTTCAGCAGTTCATTATTGAAATGTCATCAAATGGTTTACATTAACAGTGAAGATCGAAAAAATTGAAATATTTGCTTTGTTGTTGTGTTGCAGGTCATTGGAGCTACATTCATACAATCCGCAAACCTAAAATTCGTGATCAGGTGATTGAGGTAAAGACACAATTGACTCATCGTGATTATCTCAATATGGTAGCGCAACGTGATGATTCACATTTTACAATCTACAAAAAGAGACGCTGCTTCCTTATCAATAACCAGTACTTCCAATTGGACATTTACAAGGAGCCTTGTCATCCTCGGTTAGTGTTTTTGCTTCTCTGTATCTTCTTTATTTTCCTTTTCTGTCCCCCTCCCCCTCCTTTGTTCCATTTGTTACTTCACTTCTGCTCTGAATTTAATCCTCTACTACTATCAAACACTCTTGAGATGAGTTTGCACTCGCAGGGTATTTGAATATCTTCACATTAGAAAACCAAAAAAGGAAGTATTAGGTGAGAAACAAGCTACCCAGAATCAGACAAATTCATACCTATTTTATAAAGTAAACTTAATTATAAGAGTAGGGTGCCCAATATAGCAGTAAGGCTATGCTGTCAACAGTCACCAATATACTGTGGCATTCTGAGCTATGTATGCCATCGTCTTCAGTGACTTTTTCTGGAAGCTCTTGTGGTAAACAATACACCTATTTATGATGGCAGCATTAGTTATCATCACACTTGGTGGTTCACACAAAATACGATACTGTGAGTAGGTTGAGCACAGGGTTGCCATACATCTTCATTATCATAACATTGGTATGTTCAATAGATGCCTACGTGCAGTAACATTGGTATTCTTCAAGCATCAACTAAAGTAGATCGTGAAGCTATAACTTGCATACTACTTTACTTATGGGAATGCAACAAAACAAAATGTATTTCTTACAACTTAATTGAATGTGTAAATTGGTTAGTCTTCACACTATTAGAACTAATAACAAAAAAAAAGATGGGGTATCATAATCTACCCCCAAATCATTGTTTGTGACTACCAGTTATTTTCTTTATCATGTTTTCTTTTGTTTGTCTCATTATTCACTTTAGGTTCTTCCATTTTGTTGCTTTAGTTTCTTTCATTTTCTCTCATTATTAAATGAAAATAAAATAATACCTATACAAAACATTTTTACTGAAAATAAAAATATCTCAAGGTTCTGTTAGAAACCTACGTCTGCAAGTCTTGATTGTTGTGTTCGTCTTTGTTCTAACCTATTTTCAATTTTTTTAAATTTTGCTGATGAAAGCATACTAAATTTACTCGCTCAAAAATAGTTTCAAACATTATATAAAAATTTGCCCTTCTGGAGTTCTGTAAGTCTATAAATTATTGTAATTCTTGAATAAACAATTAGCATACATAAAACTATTATAAAATATAAAATTGATTGAAAGGAAATTTATGAAAGTTTGAAGAGTGTAACATTGAATTATCATGTTTTCAATGTTCATGAGGATTAAAAAATTCTAATAAATTTCACAATTTATCAAAAACTGTTTCTGTAAAAAAAGCTATTACGGTTGATGATGACAATGACTGTGATAATGTTGGTAGTTGATAGGATAGGGTTACATATAATTTGCATTGCCAAAAAGGACAGAAAAATATGAAGCTATCCATGTGAGAGAAATTTTACTGTATTACAGGATATATCAATAAATATTACACACTTCTAAGGCATACAGAGGTGTCCATATATTTTTGCCAATAAACATATTGTGGGAAATTTCACAGAACAGTTGCACACTGGCTGAGGTGGCTCAAGGTAGGCATCAGTTTAGGCCACTGCAGTGGCTCTGATTGGAAGATCCCAGGGTTTGAGTCCCGATGATGGCAGGATTTTCGACAATAGCTAGTCGGTTAGGTCAAGTTCAACCGCTATATGGAGGTAATTCCTAGTGGCCGGCTGCTCTGATCGGTAGTTTTTCAGTGTTCCTCCAATTATTGCCAAGTAAATACCGGAGCAGTACCCTGAGACACAGACTGCGCATGATCTTACCTCCCTCTTTTTGTCCTTTCCATAGCCCTTACCTACACACATTTACACTCACATGCACTACTCTTAACACATGTGTCAGGAGCTTAGAGCTTGTCCCAGTTAGGGTGGTGCCATGCTGATGGGAAATACCTGTTTGGGGAAAATGCCCGCAAGTACTCGTACATCACCACCGTGTCCCACCATCCAGGAGGCAAAGATCACTGCCACTTCCCATGATATAACATGTACTACACTTGCGAACTAATGATCTTAGCACTTGACATGCCCCAACTCACGAATCAATTATCAGTAATCAAGAGTTACACATAATGTAACTGTGTTAGATGTTAGAAGCTCTGTGTGCACAAAGGTTCACAGATACATGAAATCTACTTCATTGCTTCAGAATGTGACTGACAGAATGTATCGATGCTTAAAAAGTTGCCTAGCATTGCATGCAAACATAATGCGTGACTTTTATATTGTAGATGTTCCTTGGCAAAAAGTGATAATTTCTGACCCATCTGCCTCCCCCAAAAGTTTGTAAAATTTATTCTGAGACATGCTGTATATCAAAGTTAAAACAGGTTACTTTGGTCCTGCATGTTACAAGCTGATCAAAACAAGATAGTATAGATCTGATAAGCATTACTATCAGTGACACAAATCTTCTTGCAATATAATTATAATTGCTACCGAGTTTGAGGCAGGGACCAACCGCAGTAATGAGCATTAAAGTTTATAGGTCAATTTTAAAATAATTAAAGTGAGTTTCTGGTTTGTTTGCATTGCAATATGAATCTTTTATCTTCATAATTAAATTTTAGCTTTAAAGAAATGGTTGCCACAATTCTACTTCCTACTCCTTTTCCTTGATTTTGAAAATTAATTTTGTTTACAATATTATAAACTAAAACTTGGTATTTCATAGCATTTATAACTTTAATACTAAAGTTTTAAAAATTTATTTTCACGTTTCTGAATGCAAGATTGTTGAAAAGCTTGCTAAGCATTTTCATTATTGCAAAACTATAAGGATAATAAAAAGTCTATTCTGAAATTTGTATCATTATCATGTTTTTAAGTATATTTGTTTGTTGAACAGCTGCAAGGGCCTCATTCTTCTTGAAACATACACCAGTGCAGAACAGAATCGATTGACAAGTTGTTTGCCACAATTTTTGACAATTGTGAAAGAAGTCACTGGTGATCCTTCTTACTCAATGTTCAATCTATCTCTGCGTGAGGAATGGACCACCACCAAGAAATTCTGTCATCGTCTGCAAGGTAAATCTTGCCTTCAACTTGTTACATATCTTAACACTACGAAAGCAGAAGTGAAAATGACACTTTGTTTTCTTAGAAAATACAGGAATTTTTTTTAATAAATGCTCTCATTTCTTGTCTATTTATAATTGAAACAAGGAATAGAAATGTAACTCTGTAAACACAACATAATTTATTTAGTTCTATAATAGTATAATAATTATACTTATGTTATTTGACTTAAATATTACGTTTCATTCTAAAAAAGGCATATGAATAGTAAAATTAACAATGCAATTGGTGTGTTATTAGCCTATCATTAATATTCAAGGGGAGTGCTTTATTATTGTAATAATTCTTTGGTAATCTGCTGGACTGTTAAACTGACAAGTCCATTTTGATTCTTTAAATACCTTAATATGGAAGTTGAATTGCTTTATATTTGAAGAGAAATTTTAAAAAAAGACAAGTCGCTAGACATGCAAATTTGTGCTCAATTTTCCTTGTAAATGTGGAAGAAGAAAAAATGAGTCCTTTTGACACAGCTATCCTTTTCTGAAGTTAGAAACTCTTGTCCTTCAATTGTTAATGTGCAGAAGCTGCACAGGGCTTGAGAGAGGAAAATAATAGATGATTTTGTTTGTTGAATAGTTCAAAAGAATTAAAGTAGAATGTGAAAAAGTATGATTTAGATGAGAATGGAGATAATGTTTTGATTTACATTGCTTCAAATAAAACTTTTGGTGAAGTTAATTACCATCATTGTTCCATCAATTTATTACAATCATAATTACTATAACTTACTATTACCTATTTCAATTACTATAACTTGGCAAATATTGATCTTGTCTTTTTAGTATTAACGTGATTGTATATAAAAATAAGCATATAAATCAACTAGAGAAAAACTATGGTAAAAAGTAAATACCAACACTTGTTTTTCATTCAAGAAATTTACTTATTCTCTTCATCTGCATTATTTCAAAGAATAATTGTATTAATTTCTTTAAAAGAATAATTTTGTTTATTGTGTTTAAGATGGGGAACTTGAGTTGCTTTGTGGTAGAATTTTATATAATAGATTTTTCTCCTCCAGTTTTGGCAGTACGGTATTTGTTGTAATTAAAGTTGATTTGGGGGTATCTCCTTTAAATTAAGTTTAAGAGCTTTAATTACAATTAATTGTATGTGCATTCCAAATTGAATATGATCAAGAAATGTTTCACTCAACTGAACGAATTTGTGCATAATTAAAATTTGTTCTTCAAAGACTATTATTGATATTTATCTTTGTAGTATTTATAATGCAAAAAATAGATTTAAGCATCGTTAGCATCCTTATTAAACTAAAGAAGCAAATCTTATTGAGTATTTTCCTTCTCTTGCAGTGCCAGATGAAGACCCAGCACCACCAGGAGATCTCAAGACCAATGGGCACAGCAATCAGAATGGACATGCCACTGAGCCCACTGCAGCCACATTGGTTAATGGAGTATAGAATAGCAATGCTTACCAAATCTAATGTTTGGTCGGCATCACCTTTGTGTATAGATTATGTCTGACACATTACTGTAGCAGTTTATATTCCGTTGTTATCCTACGTTTTCTTTCCTCATTGACTAAGCTACTGGTTGTCACGACTTGATTCTTAATCAGAACAGAGCCCTGATATGTGGCTCCAAGGCAGCACACTTCAACTGCCTTACATGGTATATTCCCAAGAGAGCAGTTCATAGCTTAAAGAAGCTTAATGATCATTAAAAGTTATTTTACCTTGGCATGCAGAGCTATTAAATGGAAAGTCTTAGAATTCCATCACTGAAATTGTTTGTCGCGTTTGTTCAAAGACTTTGTGTATGATGATTGAGCTTTCTTTTCAAAATTAAAGAATTTGCAAATAGATAATTTTTTTGGCACAGAAATAGAATTTTAGGATGCAATCAATTCTGACTTAAAGTAGATGTCTTAAAATCATCATGTATTTTCTGCGCTTATGTATTCAAATTTTTGTCAGTTCCTAATGATACATTTTGTAGCAAAGAAAAAAAAAATCCTAGTCTTCTGTGTTACCAAATGAATTATTTTCATTTTAGTTGTATAGAAGTTGCAAACCTTTGCATTCTACTCATTTAATAATTTTAGAAGCTCTCTGTATGGTATGCAAAATTATTTGAAGTGCAAAGCACAAAGAAAGAAAAGTGGCTTATGATTCCTGACCCATTTTATGTAGAAGAAAATATTTTGATCATGGCTGCTGAAGCCTATACTTTGTATGCACACAAAATTTGGATTCAGAATTTGTTATTTTCTTCCAGATTCTTTGAATTCAGTGTTAGGTAAATAGTTTGGCAAATTATCATAATACTAAGGGGATGTACTTAGGCAACAGTTTGCAATTTTGAATCTTCAGTGTTCATTGATCAACATCTGTTGTCTTCTTACATATCATGATAATTTTCTGACCTTCATTCAATGTGGAATAATAATTTAAAAAGCACTGTGATGTGTATACTGTGATAATAATAAACACAGTGATGGAATACAAGGAAGATAGCTGGTATTAGTATAAGACCTTCATTAGTTGTGTCTTTGGAATTGATTTTTTCTTTTTGCAAATAATCATGCTCTCTCTTGGAGCTAGATAAGCACCATTGATATCTTCTAAAAGCCACCCTCTGTTCCTATACCTACCCTACTGTATTGTGACTAAAATGGCAAACTTACCTCCAGTGATGGTGACCACCAGAAGTCCCTTGCCACATTAAGCTGAAAAAATTGCAATTATTTCATGTAGAAATTTCCTTTCTATTTGTTGTGCCACACTACAATTTTTTAATACTGTGTGCATTAAATGAAAATAATGTGACAGGTGCAGAAAACAAATATTTAGTAAGAGTAGTTGCTCTTCTGTTAAATGAGAAAATGGAGCCACATCATTGGTACATTAGGCATCAAACATTAATCTTACACTACATTTATGGAAAATCCTGCATTTATTTATTGAGAATATGATCAAGAAATCATTGTTATATGTAGGTTAAATATATTGAAATATGAGAATTGTTATATAAACATGCAGTTTAATATTTTTGTAGTTCGTTGTAGATTTGTATTTGTTCACGTATTTAGAAAGCAATATTATATGTATGCCTATTTACAAACTGGTTCAAATGTTTGTATATTTGTCACTTAATGTTCTCAATTTTGTCACGCCTGCAAGAAAACTATTGCAGAGTAAGAATTGTGAGAAATAATTTAATACTGAGTAAATTAAGTTTTAATGAAATACTATAAATCCTCAAGTAAGTTGTTTCTCAACAGTGTTTATTCTTGAAGATTACCTCTTTTGATTGCACACTTGGTTACACAATGGAAATCTTAATCATACATTATGTGATGAGAGTTGGAAGTATGGTAAAATCCTGCAAGAAACCTTCAGCCCACTGCCTGGTGTGTTGTTTTAATTTATTGGCACTTGAGCAATTTTATTTGTATTTGAGAAAAGATGTGTATATAATCAAAGTATATGATGCAACCCACGTCTCTGGTGCAAGCTTAATTTTTACAGAATAATTCAAATAGTGAGAATTTTAAAATAAAAGGAATGGAGGATAAAATGCACAGCTGTTAGGATTTCAATTTCTTCCCCTCTTTCCCTAGGGGAGAAAAATCTTGAATTATTCAATATGTTAGTGAGTTATGTAATCTAAAATGTTTGGTCTTCTTTTCCAACAATTTTGCCTGAGGCCAGTATCACACGAGCATTGTGTTGATGTGCATTATTTATTGCATGTCAATGCAACACTGGTGTGCAGGGGCCCCAAAATGCTAATATTAATTCCTGTAAAATTTGTAATTGCCTTGTGCTGAAAGCCTGGATTAATTTGAAGTTGGCAGAAAGAAAGAGAGAAAAATATTTGAATTGTAGAACTTTTATGTGTTGAGATAATTCAAAACTTGTTTAAATATTTCATCCTGATCATGTAATTAAATGAACTTCATTAGTCCTTTGTTTGTGGCCTTAAAAATGAATATATCAAAGGAACTATGCTTGTCAATTAATAATGCAAAAGTAATGTGCATAATATCACTGAAAATATGTGAAAACACGCTGAAAATTAAAACAAATTGGGGAGTGGAATTGTAATGCAAAATGACATTATTTACTGAAGTTAAGTTAATATTGGAAATTTTAATAAACAGCATAGTCTTGCAGAGTATTAGATCAAGAGTTTGGATGACCAAGATATTTTCAGCTCTTTCGCACTAATTTTAGTGTATGTGTTAATGACATTTTCACAAATTCAACATTCTTTGAGAATGTGGTGAACTGTTGCTTTCTGCATCTGGTCACAAATTTTGCAGTATTCGGAAAAAATGAAATCTGGTTTACTTACAATATTAGTAAACGGCCCCATTTCTTCAATAAAATCAAGTTACCATGCGTCAAATAAAGATATGGGTTTACAAGTTACTGAAAATATTTTCTTACTTGAAGTTCAAATGTGTGACTGTACATAATTGATATATTGAAAGCATGTCTATTTTTTCAGTCTTCAAACAAAAGTAAACAAGGCAGTTTCAGTGTAACCTACAGAGAAATTGTCATGCTTGTGTGTTGAATTCTTAATAATTTTGACATCAAAGCAATCATTATTGTACCTGCATATTACACTGAACCAGGGTTTTAAAAAAATTTGGACATCTGGTCATCAGAAGTTGTTTTCAATACGATTGATAATAATAAAACACTGATCTTGAGTCATTTGAGAAGCCCATGATTTAACAGTTTGCAATTGTAATTTTTAGCTATTTGGTAATGAGAGTAGTTTTATTCTGAATTCATTTCAAATTGAATTTTAAACGTTATAGAAATGTGAAACTATTTTCTTTTAAATAACATTACTATTATCTCAAAATAAATGTTTAGTGTATAGTATATCAAGGCAAAAACTAATTACTCTTCAATCAGAATTATGGCCAGGCGACCATATTTTTTCATCCCTGATATTACTTGTGTGCCTCAACTGAGTATTTTTTCTGTCTCTTGTGGGGGGGCCAGCAGTTTGTGTTATGGTTGGCCTATTCTTAAAGGCCCAATGTATATTGGCTGTGTCAGAAATATATGAGCCTTTTCTCACAGTGCACAAGTGTTTCATGCCACTAAAAACCTTCCTTTTCATTGAACCAAAACAAAATGAAAAATACATACCACAAACAACTCTGAATTTATATTTTTACGCTCACTAGATTTGAAATTGATTACAAAGAGTGGAAAATTTACAACTTTTTAAGCTCATAAGAGAAACAACTGCAACATTTGAGAAAAACAAGGTAGCATTAACAATGTTGAGAGAAAGTTTGTTCACTATCTACCGCTTGCTTTCGATGCAAGTCCACCAGCACTGTCCTTAACTTTTTGTTTTTTATACATATTCATAACTTTTTTACCAGGCACTAGAGTCTGGCTGAGACCTGGTCTTTTTTTCCTTTGGGTTATACTTGCATTCTCACTGTCACCTTCCACTTCTTCATCCACAATGGGAATCACTTGATTAGGTAAGGCAACCAAATCACTATTGGTTATTTCATTCGCATGATTTCTATTCAGACTCGACTGCAAATCCGAATCGTGTGCAAATTTGCAATTGTGACCAAACCTACATCGGCCTTTACGGAAATTCCAGCATATTTTTTTACCATTTATCATTTTGATTTCGTCTCTGGTGGGGGTCATTTTCACATGTTTTTCTAAAATTGCTTTCTTGGCATTTTCTGCTTCTACAAAAGGATTTGAAAACACAGAATTTTTGACAGTAGCAACACTTGATTTTCCAAATTCTGGGGGCGGCAGCTTTTCAATAAGAGTCTTTCTGGATCTGTAAGTAACAATTCATTGTTATAAATATTCAAATTTGTAATATGTTACAGGCAACTAAAAATCAAATTCTAAAAGTAGCAATTTGGTTCGTGTCCATCTCCTGCACTACTTATTCGCAAAAAAAAAATATATATATAAATATATATATTTTTTTTAGAAAAGCGTCGAAGAGTAAAGAAACAATAAGTGAAATAAATAACTAAATACAGCAAACGGTTCTTGTGGACTTCCTCACTTACTCTTCTGTAGCACTGTCAGACTCAGATTCTGCTTCCGATTCCGATCCCGAAGTAGAACTATAATCCGCTACTAACGACGCCATGTTTACTCATGTCAAACGGTATATAAACACGAACGTAATACCATATTCTTTGTTTAATCCTTCATTATAAGTAATAGGTGAGGAACTGAAGTTTGCGTTTTTAATCAGAATTTTTGCAAAACTTGGTTGAGAAATAAGTATCATAGATCCTTCAGATAAATTGCACTATTCCACAAACAATCTCATGTCAATTATTTTCATTGCGTGTTGTATTTGGTTCCTTAAACAGTAATCTGTAAAGAGGCGTTATACATAGAACAGACGCAATATAATAATGAAAAATCATAACGAAGGGGAGATTAAGGAGAAATATATATAATTTTCAAGGAAATTAGAGATTTAAGAAATTAAATGTGTTACTGTTGTCATTTGTTCTTTCAGGGCTACCATTACCGACCTAGCGTTTTATGTCCAGTATTAAAATATTCTGAGAATAAAAAATTGAAGCTGATCTTTTGCTCCTTTAGTAAAAAATATATCATTTACATGAATTCCTAAATATTCAACGGTGTAAAATGAACTGTCGGACCGAAATTACTTCCTTCTTATTTGTTACTCCTTTATTGGTAATCGCTTCGAGATTGAAACGGATTGAACCCTGGGAAGCAGGGGAGTTTACATTCCGATTTAATTATAGTGACTTCTGACGTTTGAAGTCCTAGGACACCTTTCTCAATTTTGTTGTTGTTAAGTAAGTTAACAATTTTTTAAAACACGTCTAGTTAAATCTAAAAGTGGAAATTTTTACTGAAGTTTTATCACAGCGATCTAGCATGTGTGCAATTTTTAGATTTTTTGCCTGGTCCACCAACAGCGATATTACAGTTGAAACTTTGAAAAAAAATGCAAAATTTAAATTTTTAAGAGGATACAATTTTTAAGTGGTACGTTACTTACCAATGACTTCGTACAAAAAGTAACTCTACTGTTATGTATAAAAGCACCGAAAAATTAAGGCTGTAAGTCTATTCCTTCTTTGAGAAATTACTCTCTGAAAATCGAATTTCGTTCATTGGCGTTTCGTAGATATAGTTGCAAATATTTCCCAAATAAAAGCATGCAAGTTATGTAAATAATCTTTGGATTTGTATGCCGGAGTATACTGAATCGAATGCTCTTTTTACTATGAATAATGAGTGCTCGAACAACTCAAAGCTGAGTAATTTAGGAAAGAGTAAAAGTCTACAAACACGAAAAATGGTGCAGGGTGTAAAACAAAAATAGCCTCCATTTGTAAACCAGGCAACCATATTTGAAATCAGATCCAATACAAAAGTATTTAAGATGTTTTAAAACAGTCAACACCTAAAGAAATTTACGTACAAAATGTTAATTTTTTTTTCGAGATGGTCGAGCGACTAGTTCTCGACCACTTAAAACGTATTGACCCCGAGATTCAAGCTCGTTGGTGGCGGTGGATCCTTGAGTGCTGTGCTCACACCACACTTTGTCTGTGGTCTTAGAATAAAGAGATACTTGAAACTAGAAATGACCAAAAAGTAGTAACCAGAGAGTATATACGACCAGTGACCAGGCTATTTACCAGGCGTAACCAGGTCAGGTTGGCTTTCTGTGCCACTCAAAGCAGCAGAAAATCAGTCTGCGGATGACCTGAACTGCGCCATTTTGACGGCAAGGTCTGGAATAAAGTTTCGATAATTTACAATAAGCACCAGTATTTTAAAATTTCCTGATGTTAAGGAAGTAGACCCGTGTACGCAGAGTTACCTCCGCACTCCGTACGCCCTGAATGGTGTTCGTAGTGTTGCAAGTTTGCGCAAAATTTGTTCCTGATCCTCTTAATCGTCGGGAATATTTCATCATTGTATTCTCGAGAGTTTAATACGATATTCCCCTTCGACATCCCTGTCTTTAATATAAGTAATATGAGAAATAATTGAAGCACTCATTTTGCATGTGTTAGATGGTAACGTGCACGCTGATTAATTGCACCTTTATTTCTTAGGTTATGGTAGGATGTTAAGATACTTGTTCGAAGAATTCGGTACTAATAAATGTAATATTTGCAGGTGATTGTGAACTAGATTTGATTGCAACATGTCAGATTTCTTAGATTCGGAAGCAGAAGAAAGCGAGGTAAGTAATTTTTAAAAACAAATTTAGTACATTGATCAAAGGTTGTATATAATATAACATATGTCTCATGTTTGTGGGTATTCATTCAAATTTTTGTAGAATGAGGAGGAGGAAGAAGAGGATTATGCAGTAAAGAAGAAAAAGAAGAAAGGAAAGTCAAAAAGAACTGCAAGTGATGAAGAGGAAGATGAAGATGAAGGTAAAGAAAGAGCTATATTGAGGGTCAATCAGTTTTTATGAGTGATGACTAAACACTGCGCAAATTTGAATAGTCAAGAGTTGTATCTTACTTTGTGTCAGATACATTACACTCCTGACAAAATGTTAATAAATATTTCTGATTTTATAGCATAATTAAGTTACGATGGTTAGTGCTTAATTGTGTATAAAGAAGACTTAATTTTGTGAATAGATGATGAAGAAAGACTGCGAGAGGAACTGAAAGACTTGATTGATGATGCACCTATTGATGAAAGTGAAGGTGAAGACTCAGATGGATCTGCTGGTTCAAAAAAGAGAAAGAAGAGTGATGATGAATTTGATGACCGGTTAGAAGAAGATGATTATGATCTCTTGGAAGAAAATCTTGGTGTTAAAGTAGAAAGAAGAGTAAGTTCATATCTCTGAATTTGTTAGTGATGGAATGTGTAATATTTATTTTAAAGCATGTTCTTCAATTTTTGGAAACCCTAATGGAAAGAATTTTGATTAGGAAATAAGGCACTTGTTATTAATGTCTTTTTTTTTTTTTTCTGTAGAAATTTAAAAGATTGAAGCGCATTCAAGATGAGGAGTCTGAAGAAGAGCAGGAAGAACAACAAGAAGATGAACGTGATGCAATTGCCAATGTGCTTTTTGAGGGCTCGGATAATGTAAGTTTCTTAGATCAAGGGTTAAAAAAAAGCTCAATTATCTTTGTTAGGATGTTAGTATGGAGTATACTAAATAATGTTGTTCTTGGAATGCTGTTTTTTGTCGAGATATGTATTACCAGTATATGGCGCTTCAAATACAGTGTTGCACAAATTATTACACTAGAGCATATGTTGTAATCAAGATCACATTTTTTGTGTTCTTTGTGCTTACAAATACAAGTGAATAGTTTGTGCATATATCATTTGTTCTAATCATATTGACATTTGTCCTGTAAGAAATGTGACATTTTTACTTTCCCGTATTTGTACGTATATACAGAGTATTATATGTAGTATAAGAAAAGTTATGTAATGCTGCGGAAAATCTATTGTGAGATTTCAACGTAAAAACACGTTTTGGAATCCTCTGATACCAATGAAGAAGTTTTCTTCAAAACTTCCATCTGTGGACACTATTTGCATCTAAAGCGTACGTAGGATTTTTTCTAAATTGAAAAAACTGATGTCAATTTGGCTTGAGTCAAATCTTTAGGTTTTGAAAAAAAAATCTTTAATATTTGGGGGTACGTTACATGAAGCCACACGGACATTCTTAAAAATTTCTCAAAATGGGCTCGAACATTTTTTGAAAACTTTCTTGTAAGAATAGATTAAAATACACTTATACAGGTTGTGTAGGTCTGATTATCAGATTTAACTCTGAAGTTTTGCGAATTTCAGAATTTTTGAGAAAATTGAAGATAGAGATTCGTCCTTCAAATAAAATTTATTTTCCATAGCAAGTGCTTTCATTAATGTCATGTACATTTTGTTGAAAATTTTATTAGTTTTTGTGCAATATTGCGAGCAACATGTGCAATTTAAAAAAAAATACTAAAACAAGATTTTCTGAAAAACGGCTCTAAATTTTTTATACTTTAGGTAGGGATGAACTCGATATGGTGACATAAACGTCATGTTGCTATCTTCTTTTGTTTTTTCAAAAATTACAATTTTTTTTTTTTTATCTTTTTTCTCATATTGTTAGTATTTACATTAACGGCAATGTGTTCACATTAATTTATTTACGTGTACATGTGCTGTAAATGTCAGATTGTTTGTTGAAAACTCAACCATTTTCTGTTAAAATTAGCTCAAAATTCCGCATTTTCCTAAACAAACACCATTTTCTCAAAAACGGTCTCGAACTTCTCTTTAAATTTAAAAATTAATTTTGCTGCATTTGATTTTTAAAAAATTACCTCATTGTAATGTTATTAAATCTCTCTCATGCCTTTAATTTGCACATTGCAGCGGTTTGTAAACAATATTGCATTTGTGACTGGAAGTGCTTGAAATAGTTTATTGGAAGTTTTTCAGAAACTAATAGTTTTCTGTGAAAAGAGGTACAAATTTTGCATTTACAGGAGCGGTTATACACTATTTTCTTTAAAAAAGCTCCAAATTTTACAAAGAAAATTGCCATTTATTGCAAGGGTTTACTGATTTTTAATATTCTTAAAATAATATCCCCATTCTACTATTATGAAACGGAAAAATTAAGTATATATTTTTAAAAAAAAAGTGATTTGGGTCGCGACAGATGGCAGCTGGCTAGGGTATGTGGCAAGCCAAATAGCTAGATGAGATCAAAGGAAATAGAAAATTAATACGGGAAAGTCCGTGTTATTCTATAGTATGACTAGTTTAAGAATGCATTCATGCTGTATTTTTAGAGCTACTCAAATAATTGTTCCTTGATTGCAATGTTGAGTTTATTTAATTGTGGCTTCATTATTGACTTAACCCTTTAACTGCTATGGGTCGGCCAACTCTGTCATGCGTCTTGTGTTGTGCTTGCTGCAGGCCCTCTTGTGAGCTTAGCTCACTCATGAAATAGTATGAGACCTCTCAGTTATCAGTAAGTCCTAGCGATAGCAGAAAGTCCATTTACATGTTCCAACTCGTCTAGAGGCTCTTAGCAACAACTTGACTGAGTGTGGTAACTCATTCAGAAGCTACTACACATAAATATTTTGTGTATGAACTCCACTAGAGCAGTCAAAAAGTTAAAATTTGTATAAGATTCATATTTCGGGACTATGGCATGACGAATTTCATTCAAGAATTTTTTTTATAGAGTCTTGGTTTATTTAAATGATTCTCCATCATGCAAAAAAGGTAAACTTCTAGTTATGAAACCAATATCGTAATTGGGGTAAATGTTTTGCGAGATGATTTTAGTGGTGCTGATTCATGGTGCCTCTCGCATTAAAAAAGTTTGCCAATAGTCTGAACTGTCATGACAGTACACCACTCAGCCTCAAATATTAATGAAAATAAATATTCTGCCTACTTATGATTTTTTACTTTAATAATTTGCACCCACATGTGGGTTTTTTCTTCACTATAATGCTATTGTGTGGTATGTGTGTTAATTGATTGTAATGAGGTGATGCCCTCATAGCTATTCTTCTCTTTTCAACATGGAATTGAAAAAGTTGAAAAATTGTCGTTACTTCTAAACTAACTTTTGTTTTATTAATATATGGTTTTTAGAGACCCCTAATTATGAATTTGACGAAGGCTTGGACTTTTGTTCTGCTCACTCCAAGCTATTCAAAATTCAGAGATTTTGTTTTTATAGTAATCAATTTGGTTCTTTGGAGGGGGAAAAAGTAGACTTGTGCAATTTTTTCTTTTGAGTTTTCCAACATCAGGAAAATTTTGAGAAAAATTGTGTTATTTATGTTCATAGAGTATTCTCCACCCTGTTGTCTTCTATCCCAAGCAGATTGTCTGCATCTCCCTCTTTATATTTTTTAAGTTTGCATTCAGATTTCAAGTTTTCTCGTGGTTCATAAACTGATTAGTTATAATATAAATTTTATAATTTGTTAGTGATTGGATGGTTCCACTTGGGTTTCCTATTCCTGATATTACTATTTTCTGAAGCACAAAAGCAAGCTTAAAGGTTTTTTTGTATCTTAAATTTGTTTATTCCAAAATCAAATCCATGTTAAAAGGATATTGTTGAATAGTTGATTAATATGCAAAAGTAATTCTAGGAAGAAGAAGGAGCGTCAGAGCGCGGTGTGCAGCGAATGGAGCCAGAGCACATGGAGGAGGAAGGGGAAGAGGAATCTGATGAGGATGACTTCATTGTTGATGATGATGGCCAGCCCATCAAGGATAAGCGACGCAAGCGAAAGCCCATCTTCCATGATGCTGCCTTGCAGGAGGCTCAGGACATTTTTGGTGTAGATTTCGATTATGATGAATTTGAAAAATATGGTGAAGATGAGTATGAAGATGAAGAGGATGATGAATATATTGAAGATGAAGGTGGTGATATAGAGCGCCCGTAAGAAAAACTTATCTATGAAATACATTATAATTTCCCCAAAAATTGTATACTCCCGAACTTGAAAGTAGTGTTGATATATTTTGTAAAGGGGTACACATTTTGTGTGTACTAATATACATGAATATTTTAGATAACTTTTGGTATTTGGTATTATTTTGAAAGTCAAGTATGAATAGCCCCTTTCAGTCAGCTTTTGACTATTGTGTGTTATTTCATTTTAAAGTCACAATTACCTTTCTTCAAAGAAATGTATCTATTTGCATAACATTTTTTAATTATGTTGCAGGCAACGACCAAAAAAGACTGATCGAAAGAAACCTACTAGAAAAACAATTTTTGAGATTTATGAACCTAGCGAACTTAAGAGAGGTCATTTTACTGATCTTGATAATGAGGTAATGTTATATTCATTGCAAACTTTACATATTTATTAATTACTAAAACGCATGTTGAATTATTTATAAAGAGTTATGATCAATGCTATTTCTTGTATAATAGATCAGAAATACTGACATTCCTGAGCGTATGCAACTCCGTGATTTCCCTGTTACACCAGTGCCAGAGAACTCAGATGAGTTAGATGAGGAAGCTGATTGGATTTATAAGCAAGCATTCTGCAAACCTACTGTCTCGTCACAGGTTAGTCAAGTATCTTTGGAGTTTGTATAAAACATTTAATTTTAGCTTAATTCTTTTATCATTGGTAGTTGGTATCCTGTATGTTCTCAGTATATCTCAATATATTTCACAGTGCAATGAATAAGCTGATATTTTGTAATATCCTCTCTAAAAAGAACAGTAACTTCTATTTTGTATATGTAATTTTGTTTCTGGTAAATGACCCAAGAAACCATCAAGAAAAAACTATTGATTCTGTGGTACTGATGTACATATGCAAAATATTATTAGAATTCCTCTTCATTTTTGTTCAGGATTATAAATTACTCCCTTGTTTTATGTGTAGGATGGTTTAGTAACAGAGGCACGTGAGCGAGCACGTAAAGGTCCTCAGACAGTGGGCAAAATCAAAAAAGCCCTGGACTTTATGCGTAATCAACACTTTGAGGTTCCATTCATTGCATTTTACCGTAAAGAATATGTGCAGCCAGAATTGAACATCAATGATCTTTGGCGTGTATACAAATTTGATGAGAAGGTAAGTTGGGAATAAAGTTGTCTTAAAATATTATAAATTACTATAATATTAATGTTATAACAAACACGGTAAAAAATATGCGATTAATTTGTTTGTTGTTTTTTGTCTGATTATAATTGAAAGTTTTAATGTTGTAAACAGAAATTAAGTTTATATAAATGTATAGTTTTGCAATAAAATTTATCACAAAAGATCAAGCAACTTTTTTCTTGATATCACTGTTCAAGCCAGAAACTTTAAAATGCAGAACAGTCATATTGATTTGTTATATATGTAATGCTCATTTTTTAGTGTAATGATGCTTGCATTGAGAAAATCTTTTTTTTCCCTAGGGAATATTCTATATTTTTATTTGTAGTATTTTTCACGGTTCTGTTTTAGTGGTGCCAGTTGCGAGCCCGCAAGCAAGCTTTGGTCAAATTATTTGAGCGAATGCGTGATTATCAGGTATGTACCAAAATTTTTGAAAGCATGAAACAAGCTCTTACTTTTTAAAACTTTTTATCCATTGTGTTTTTGTTTTTCTTTTTTTTTCTTTCTTTCTTTCTTTTTTTCTTTCTTGATGTTCTGCATTTATTTTACATTGTAAGTAACATTTACTTATTTATCACTTCAAGTGTAAGTTTTACACTGTGGGAGATGAAACTGTAGGATTGACAATTGTTTAATCCATTGCTGGAGAGTTGGTGAGGCAATCGGGTACTAGTGATGACAGCCCTCCCAATCTGTGTTGTAATGTTCACCATGGGCTTGACCAAAGGCACAGTTTGGTTTCATGCATCTATCACTGCTTAAAAGAATCACTGACTTCTTTGAAAACATTTTTTTCAGATTCTACCTTCTAAAAATAAGGTTATTTTCTATGTCATGAAGAGGGAGTGTTTAATGAGAGGTGATAGGGCCAAAATAGTTTTGTTCAAGAAATTTCTTTTCAGTTTCTCACACTCTTTTTGTGGTTGTGCTTTGTATCTTTCATTTTGCACATGCTTTCTGTTTCTTAATTTTCTTTTTCTTATCCTTCTCCCTTCTCTTTCTTCTCATCTCAAGTGAGAAATGAACATGAAATTAGTTAAATGAAGTGAATTAGAGGTCCCTGAAGAGTTCAAGTTCATTGGTGTATTCAGTACACAAACATTTTGAGAGAAGAAGAAAAGAATCACCTTTATTTTCATTACTTCAAATTATTCTAAGAACTGGTGCCACATTCAAAGAATTTCGTATTCAGCAAGAATTTACACATATGTAGTATAAAGAAAGTTACGTTGCAGTGAGTTTTCAGCAGAAAAATTAGTATTATAGATTCGTGATACCGAAAAAGTGTCTAAATCTTCTTTCTGTATGTATTAAATTTCTTCCTCTTGTTGTGTAGTCTGAATTCATGTTTTGTTGGTCCTAGATATCGAAATATTAGTTTATGGTAAAACATTGTTTGTGAGCAATACTAGTAGGTAAACTGTAAGCAGGATTTTCACCAAAATTGATGTTCTCCAATTAATCCGTCTGTAACAGCTTGAATTTGAAACTGCTGTTGTAATTTTTGAAGGCACTTTAAATGACTCGAGGACAAATAAAATTTTTCTCAAAAATTGCTCCCAATTTATTGATTAAACTTTGCCCTCAGATAGCATAAAGCACATTTAAAGATTGGCAAAGGTCTCAGTTGCATTGAAATATCTAAATTTTTAAAAATTGTAAATGTTCAAAATTGTTTGTTTTCCTCCTTCAACTACAGAATTAAAGATCGATATTTTTCTCCTGAATAAAATCTTTCCTTCAAATATGAATCTTTTCAGAATATGAATAGTTATCAAGTACAGTGAAAGTCTGTTTATATGTTTTTCACGTTTATACATTTGTTTGATAAGTCTTGGATATATTCCTATAATTCCCATACTAAGTTATTTCATTTATGCATTTTATGTTTATACATTTTTCACTCATACATTAATAATAAAAGTTGCTTTAAGACCGTATAATGTTCAAATGATCCCAGTGAGGCACATGGTGACCCATGCTGAGAGCCTGGAACTTGCATGTTACTCGAGTCAGCACTCTCCCACAGAGCGACCTGTAGTTTGGCCTTTGAGGAGACATCCAGATAATGAAACTTGTGATATAGAAGGTCGACTTGGCTTAGCTTAGGGGCTGAGACCATGTGAGTCTGCAGGGTGGTAGCGCAAAATTGGCTCCTGGGCCACTTTGGGCTGCGGAACTTTGAAAAATTTCAGTCAGGTGCGTACAGGATACCTGAAGATCTCAGGAGGTGACAGCTAGCTACAAGGGAAGGTCAAAGATGTATGTTCCCAGGAGAGAGTAACAATGTAGATGACCAATAAGTTAAGTTCGTGCACTGACTTAGTCTTCGAAGGCCCTTTTGCTTGCCGTAATATCAAATGAGATCCTTTCAGTAGCAACATGGCACAAGCAGCTAATGAAACTGACTGCTTTTCCACTTTATTAATCAAGTAGCCAATATTGTAAACGAATGATGTTTTAGTGTCAAAGTAAACACCCAGATCCTGAATCACATTCGAGAGGTAATGCATGTACGTTGTGTTTGAAATAGGCTACTGATTGGGAACAAGAGAATTTCACAGATTTGCTTTTGGCAACCTTTAATAGAAGATCATTCTCGTTACACAATTTACCAATTGCATTTAGCGTTGATTGTGAGGAATGTTGGTCTTTTATGCACATGATCGACTTAAAGAGTTTGCAATTATCTGCAAATACGTGGAACTCTACTTCTGTAGCTGTGAGATAGATGTCGTTTATAAATTTAATGAAGAGTATAGTGCGTTCAGGGCAGCAAATGATTTTAATGACAGCTTCTATGAGAGATGAGCTTTGCCAAAGACCGCATCACGCTCCGATAAATATTTTTTCGCCAGTCAGCCGAGTAGAATTAACAGCTGGCCTCGGTTGACTGAGTTTTCTTGTTAAATGTAATTTCATTGCACGAATGTTAGAAACAGTTTTCGTGAGAGATTCATTTAATTCCATATCGTTAATGATGAAAAATTGTACTAAGTGACACAAAACTTTTCGAAATGCTGAGAACTTGTGAACGTGTGATTGAGCCATTAAATATGAGAATGACATGGAATATAAGACAAAATTCCCACATATGCCTTGTCAAAACAGTCAGAATTCTGCTTGTACTTTTCGATCTTGCATGTTCAGAAGGTTCAAATTAATGTCTGTTGTATAATGTTTTGCAGTTACGATATCAAATGTTTATAATTGCGATTTCATTTTCACATGTTCATTGTATGCCTCTGACAAAGCCAGTGTATCAATTATTTATCAATAACTTACTTATATGGTTAGTTAATTGTGAATTTGTTGTAATAAAACTTTAATACTATGATAATTTGTTCAGTGATTAACCAGTAAAACAAGGCTTAGTTGACATATTAGACATGTATAATTAACATAAAACTACCATTAATTTGCTCTTTTCTTTTCATAATTCTGTGTTCTCCTGAGTATACAATCTTCAGAAATTTTCATGCTTCATTCAAAGATTTCTGGGGGTAAAAGAATACAAGTTAGTTAATATTCTCGGAGTTCTGTTTGGCAGAATTCTCGGTTAATTCAATTCATAAGTCACTTCAGGTAAATTTCTTAAAAATAGAAATCAAGCCTGTTCTTAAAAGTAAAATAAAAATGGGTCAAAAAGTGCTACGAATTATTGTTCTCGCCTGTCATTAAAATGATATTACTCGAGGAGGGTCTGTCCACGTCCTGACGGGGGGATGCAGGGAGGGCTCTCAAGTATTCCTTTAGCAAGCATCTTGATCTTGCTTATCGTTTATTCTCATTCTTTTATAACATCCTGTCTCTTTTCCTCTACCCCCTTTTATGTCACTGGCCACCCCTGTATGCAGAATGCCCACCCATGTGTTTACATGGTGACCCATGTCGGAGGGAAGGTGTGTCCCGGCAGTTGAGGGACCTATGTTACCCAACTATTGTGCTACTTTCTGCTTTGCACCTAGGAATATGTTGTTTACATATTTTGGGGAACATTCCTTGTAGGTTTCCAAGACACGTTCTTTGGTCTTGGAATCTTCTAGACGTGCGGTACTGAGCTAACCCACTCCCGATCAACCAGCTCGTATTAGCTCTTGTACTGAGCTCCAAGGTGAGCGGGGGGATCCACGATGGGACAGCGCTGTAGCATCTTCCCAATATGTTTTTGTGACAACCCTGACACCCCAGTGAGGTGTCCCCTTGTAGGACTGTGGTGGGTTGGGGAGCATGGAGTCGAATCCGCATCAATTCTATTGAGCATAAAACAAACATCTTGCTCTTGTCCGGAAGGAAGAGGAAATGTTTTGAGAAAACAGTGGATTTGAGTAGTTCCTTTCTTTGGGAAGAAGATAAACCAAAGAAGCCATGTCTCTTTTTGATCGCGTACACAGAAGAAGGAAAAACATTTCGAAGTACTAGTGGGGTTCATCTCGCTCTAGCCATTGCGGTGGTGCATCAGAAGAATTGTACCATTCGTTTTGAAGCACGCACTGATGAGAAAATTGAAAACTAAGCAGATTGCTTGCCTCCATGTGGAAGTAACCGTTCACCCTACTCTTAACCTAAGCAAGGGAGTGGTTATTCACGATGACTTTGCGTCCGAAGGGGAGGAGGAACTTCTGTCTTTCTTCAGGGCGAAACAGAGGTGTGTCCCAAGGATCAATAGGACGGAGAATGAGAGAGAGATCCCTACTCCCACTCTGATCTTGATGTTTTATCTCCTCTCTCTCCCAGAGGGAAAAGGTGCGAGTTTTATAATTTCTGTGTGCGGCAGTATGAGCCCCTGCGCAAAGTGCAGCAAATCCATGCGCAATACAATCCCTGTGCTTCCCCACTTTACTGTGTTAACTGTGGAGGAGACAATGCGGTCAACTCAAACAGGTGCCGTATATATCTGAGGAAGAGGGAGATTCAAAAGATTAGTGACAGAAGGTATCTTTTCACAAGACGAATCGCCAATACTTAGTGAATAACCCTCTAGATCTCAGGCCAAGATCTCGTTTTCCAGTACTCCCAGTACTCAGGCCAAGACAGCAAAACCAACAGCGAGTTGTCAGACTCATCTGCTACTCCCCCAGTTGCTCATTTGTTGCCAGGTGTCTCCAGTGCACTTCATGGAGGAGACATTGCCTCTGCAAGGTGGGAAGATAGTTTCATCCAAATATAAATTGTTAAAGAAAACCACACAGGCAAAGTCTGACCTAGAATACACTTCTCAGCCCTACATGAAGGCCGATGTCACTTGGCCTTCTGGCCCAGACAAACTTAAAAAAGATCATTCCTTCAAATTCCTTCAAAGTCCGACCACCTACCCCGACTCCTGAGACTCGCTCTGAGTGATCTCTTAGCCCATCGAGCAGTGCTCAGGAGGAATCTGCCTTGGAGGAAACATCTGCCGGGGTGGTCAGTCGCCGTTTTGGGCAACAGAGACATAAATGTAAAAAGGGGAAGAAAATATTCCCCCTTGAAGCAAAGAAACTTTACATCCAGAAGTTATGGCTCTCCACTCACGGAATCTGTATGGCTTTTGCACCCGTTTAGACGAATTGAATCTGATAATGTCTCTGCATAGACCCGTTGTTATCTGCCTGCAGGAAACACATCTTCCTGAGCATTGCCTCTCTCTTCATGGCTTTTGCTGCTTAGAAGGATATTCTATTCTAAAAGATGGTGATTGTTTCAAATACCTATGCAAAATATTTTCAGGGCTTGCCAACGTAAAGTTGAAAGAGGGAATCATCGTTGGTCCAGCTATCCGCAAGCTTATGAAGGATAAAGAATTTCAAATTAGCTCGAGGGATGAAGCAGCTTTAGTTGCCTTCAAAGATATTTTCAGTCATCTGAATAGTTACAAGGATCCCGACTATAATACAATTTTTATGAATATGCTGAATTTCAAGATTTGAGTTGCTTCAGGAGTGTCAAAATGCATTTCCTTCGCTGACTTGTGGTCTTTTTTCTCAAAAATTTTGGATAGGCAGTGAAAATAGGGTAAAAATTCTACTGAGACTTGAAAGATATGGAGCACAAATACAGTAGAACCCTGGTATTCGGAACTAATTGAGGGAGTAGTCTATTTGGATTCAAAAATGTTCAGATTATCCGAAAAATGTACCAAACATACAAATACATGTATAGGTTCCCAGACACCATTTAATGTAGTGTACGACGTGAAAAGCGTAGCGTGGCAATCACATCATCATATCGCGGATTCAATTTCTTATGACAAAAGATAATAACAAATTTTGCAAGTTCATCTAAGTGAAAATTACTTCTACATAAACATATGATGCATACAGTCATTACCAATGCAAAAAAAAATTCATTTCGACAATTTGTTTCAATAGTTAGTTGTTCAGTTTCACAGTTCAAATAATTATAAAACTCTTTCATTATACTATTAATAAGCTTTTTATTTCTCCTCAGTGCCATATTTTGTTCGGATTATACGAAATTTTGGATTAGCAAGGTTCTACAGTATGTATGAAGGCATAAGGGACAAGACCTGCTTGCCGACTACTGTTGTATATTGACATGAGATAGGCCTGAGATTGTGCATAACTGAAGAACATCAAAAGGAAGTTTCTAAGGAAAAAGATAATATTGAGAGATTAGACTACTGAGGATTTTTCTATTGCTGAAGGGGGGGGAAATGAAGAACTCCCCAAAATTTAACTTATTTGGAGCACACTAATGAACCTTACTCTTGACATGTGTAGCAAAGTAGAGTTCCATCACATCCATTATGACAGAAACCATTTTCTTTCTTGTAAGAAAATCCCACCAAATTGTCAACCTTGAATGTTTGGACTAAATCAAGTAGTTTTTCTCTGAACTTGTATTATAGCAGAGGAAAAGTGAAGTGCATTTCCCACAAGTTTTGATGTTCCCTCTTGTGGTAGAATAACAGTTGAAGTGGTATATTCTCAGGTTCACATAGGGTATTGATGGCAACATTCAAAACACATCATCTTAATTGCTGTGAAACAGAAGCTATATGCTCTTAAAGATGGTAACACCTGTTCAAGTGTTTTCTCCAAAAACTATAATGAAATGGCTGAGGCAAATCCATAAGACACCTCAAACCCCAAAGAAAAGAGAACTTATAATAGCGGTGAATGCAAAAATACTTGAGAAAGTTGTCAAGGCGTGGAAAAAGGGAACCATGGGTAATTCTGATTATTCTATAGGTAGTGCTTTGATTTTCACTTACATTGGAGCAAGATTTTGATGATGTGGAGAATAAAGACTTAACACCCAATAATTAATTAAGTTCACCCGAAGTGCCTGGTTAAAAGATATAACATTCACAGTTGCAGTTTATCGTATTGTGCATAACTCTGATCAAGAGAAAAGTTGATTTATAATATTTTATGGCTTAAGGTTTGTTTGTTAGTTACTATTTAGAATGTCATTGTTAATAACAATAGTTCATGATAATAAAACTAATTCATCAATTGAGGAAAACAAAGTGAGTGTGTTTCCCTGGACAAATAAACATGTCATGCATTATATTGAACTGTAAGGTTAACTTTGATTTTCCAGAGGTTGGTATTTCATCAGAAACTCGAGTATTGCTCAGAGACTAATTTTGTAATTAATACCCCCACTTCATGTGCATTTCTCCAAGCTATCAGTCAAGAAAAGTTGCCTGGATGTTGCTGAGTATTGCAAATGACCTAGGTTCATAATCTGAGGCATTTTGAAGGGTGCTTTTGTAAGAGAACTCATTGTTTTTATTTCATTGAAATTTCTGAAATTGATTCCACGGGAAGAAGAATGGAATATGGAAAGAAAAATTTCTTTTCAGATTTTGCCTTCTCCCAAGATTTCTTTAGATTGTTCTAGACTCACTCCAATTTTACATAACTATTTTTTTTCCATAAAGATTTGTATTTGATGAATAGTATTTCCAAGAAATATTCTCTTCTATCTGGACATCAGAAGACAATTTAAATACCAGTGGGAGAGAACTCCAATGTTGATTGAAACAAATTGTTAATTATGTCACGTTTCAGGTTTTGGACTTACTCTGTGATTGCAACTGTGAAAGATTACATGTTTTTCTGTCCTTCAGGCAGAGCAGTTGACAGCCCAACCGGATCAACCTCTTCCTGAGGACGTGCGTGTGTTACGAGATGAAGACCTAGATCGACTGCGAACTGTACAAACACCAGAGGAGCTCAAGGATATACACTCCCATTTCCTGCTGCATTATGCACATGAGATACCTGCAATGCAAGAAGCACTGCGTGTAAAGCAGCGGGAAGAAGCCAGACAAGCAAGAAAGAAGCGCCCAGTCAACACGGAGGGCATTGAGGGTGTTGACGGAGAAGTGAGTTATTATAAGGGGAGGGAGGGAGACAGACAGATGCACTCACGAGAATCTTATGTTTTTTAAAATAAATTAATGTTACAAGATTTTAAAATATTGATACAATAGGAATGTTAGTGTAAAATCTGTAAAATAATGAATTAATATACCTTCCCTTTTTGTGATCTGGTTTTGTGATTTCTTGTTTAAAAAGTAAAATCAGCCTTTGATCTCTAACTAGTCAGGTACTTTATTCATACATATTTCCAGTACTGTTTAATTCTCTAATTTTATGTCTACCGAACTGACAAAAAGAAGGCAGTTCCTAATGAAAACCTTATTTCCTCTTAGAATGAAGGAGCTGGTGAGGAAGATGAAGAAGCAGCAGCCGAGGAGGAACCGCCAGAAGAGCCGCCGCCAGAGGGAGAAGTGCTGAAGCAGGCTGTACGTGGAGGTCCTTATCACATGTGCCGCAAAGCAGGACTGGCTGGGCTTGCTAAACGCTTTGGCTTGAGTCCTGAGCAGTTTGGAGAGAACTTGCGTGACAACTATCAGCGCCATGAAGTGGAACAGGAACCTACAGAACCTGTAGAGGTGTGTGTCAGACCATTAACTTTTGACGTATTATGCCTATTGGTTTAAACTGATGATTTTTCGTTAGTTGGTAAGTTTCTGAGGCTACAACACATTTGTTGAGTTTTACTCTCATTCAGGAACAAACAAAAAATTGGAGTCTTGAAGACCTGAATGGGCATTTTGTGCAAAGTACAATTGGTGGTTGAACCATGAATTATTAGTACAATAATAGCCAAGATCCAACAATAGGAAGGATCTGCATTTCCACCATGCAATATTTGGTTATTTATTTCTGACACTCAAAATTTGCATGTGATCCTGACATAAGTTCTTTAGACTTCTAATCAGTGGCACTGATACTGAAGTAGTTTCATTGATTTGCCATTAAACCACGATCTACCATAAAAGCTTTATTCAGGTCACAAAATCTTGTCGGAGCAAACTTCTTTGTTTGAAACACATTGTTATCTTTAATCGTTTCACTGCTTTGCACATGTGTGTGTCCATTGGGACATGTGCCTCATGTCCTATGTACGTGTGTGTACAACCAGGACTAGCAAGATTGGTCCTTAATTTCAAATATAGTACTATTTGTAAGACTTAAAAAACAATAAGACTAATAATCTGTGTTAGTAACTAGTAAAGTTTTATATTTCATTTTTTACTTTCCGGTGCACTATGTACATGTGGTGTGTGTATGTTGTGTATAAAGTGGGAGTCTGTCTAACGAGAAATTTCTGATTAGATTGGTTTTTCCCGTTTCTCATTAGATGGTTAATATATTCTCATAGTTCCTGTGCCTGTCCTGAATGATTCTTTATTATTCTTGGGAGGGAATAGGGAAGAGGAAATCATATAAAGAAATTTGTATTGTGAGTTGTGTGGAACACATCTCATGCAGGTGAGGTGTTTGTTTCAAGAACAAACTAGTACTAAGAATTCTCAAAACTAGACCTTTTTATTAACTCGCATTCATTGAGTAAAATATTGCTCCTTAATATCATTTGAATCTTGATCAATTGTGTAGCTTGAAACAATGTATTTAAAGCCATCCCATGGTCTTTTTTTTTATAGGAGTCTATATAAACCAGACATGTCGAAGCTGCTAAAGCAAAGAAATAATCTAATAAAATGTAATAATACATCAGCCAGATTTAAAAATGTAAATTAAGAGTAAAATTAAACATTTTGAATTGAAAGTATCGTGATTTTTTAATTGTAATTTCTTAAGAGTGCAATAATTGAAGTAACTTCTTACATTCAGGTTAGGAGTTTTAACAGACTCTTTCATTAAAAGAGCTGTATGTCTATAAGTTTGAGCTGTTGACTTAGATTTATTTATTTCATTTTATTTCTATGCACAAGAAATAACTGAAAGATTTAAGAAAACATTACACTAAATGAAAACTAAGGAAAGAATTCACTTTTCTTTACTGCCTCTTGGCAAAAATGTTTAAACATGTCAGAATGTAAAAAGAAAAAAAATGAAATAGTAATAAATAGTAAAGAATATAATAATAGTTCAAATCAATGCAATGTTGTTTTCTGATACTGATAACTGATTATGACACTACACCCTGCGTCATTATGTGAGTCAAACAGATATTTTTTTATATTGTGTTATTATTGTTATTTCTTCCTGTGACTAATTTTTGTGGAAACTGAGATTTACCTGCAAAGCATTATTAAAAACAAACGCTTCTTAGTATCTAGAAGCCATGTTTATAATATGTATAGTGTTCAAAATTCACGTTCCATGAATATTTTGGTTCAAAAGAGAGGATATTCCTATCTTAGCTTACGAGGTTCTGGTACTTGCAAAATAGTAGACTGAGATTAGAAGACTTCTCATTGTAATTGAAATTTTCTGAATATCTGTATTGTATCAGCCACTACAACTTAATACAAAACCTTCTCAAACTTGCCTCATCATGTATTTTGCAGGTAGCTCGAGAGTATATCAATAATAAATTCACTTCTCCTGAAGATGTGCTGCGAGCTGTTAAGTTTATGGTGGCAATGCAACTTGCCCGAGAGCCCTTGGTACGCCGATGTGTACGAGAGACTGTGTTTGAGCGATCCAAGCTCTGTGTGCGGCCTACCAAAAAAGGTGCGAAAGAGATAGATGAGAATCATCCGTGTTACAGGTAGGTTATCTTGTAGTCCTATTTAGGAATATGACTATGATGTAGCTATGTACTCAATTTTATTGGATTTGATAGATTCTTTAGTGGCATTAACTATAATTCTAAAAACAAGAGCTATTAAAAATTGGTATGAAGAGTGTTAACCCATGATGCAGCAAGTCTTGAATCACTATCGATGCGAAAACAGGGTCCTTCTGGGCCCAGAAATTCTTTTTGTGTGAAATAAAAATGAATCAATGAAATAAAATTGATTCATTCTACCAGTTTTCTATGAAATGAGACCATATGTACTGAAGAGTCTACACTTCTGTTTGCTACCTTTATTTGATTGTTTGCCTCACATCCTCTTGGGAAAATAGACTTTTAAATCTCAAAATATTTGAACTGCCTGCTATAGGTTCCATTTCACATTCAAGTCAATTATTCCTGTGCAGAATAATACATTGATAAATACATCAATCTTGTCAACTGTCAAATTATTCCACTAAGTTTTTTATCAAATCCATACCACCAGATTCAGCATTTGTGCAGTGCACTCTCTCTTCTTTTATGTGCTTTGAATTTAAAAAAGACACACACACACAGTATCCTTCAGCAGATATACATGTTTTAAATATATACTAAATAATTTCCTCTAAATGTTAAGTAGTCAGAATCCCCATTTTGTGGGGCTTTGTTACAAAAAAATGGTTTACAGCAAAACGTCTGTTCCATCCATCCATCTCATCTACTTATCTATCTGTTAAAACAATGGTTGGGGCCAAACCTAGGGCAGAATTTTCATCAAAATTGATATTCCGTGATCAACCTCTCTGATTTTGGGGCCCGTAGAATTTGAAAGGAATATGTTGATTTGGGGATGCTTTTTTCCAAACTTTGTGGCAAAATTTTCCAAACTTTTCTCAATAATCGCTCCTAATGTTTTCTCCAATGGAGTAGTCCAAAGGAGTCTCCAAAGTATATTTGTAATTGGTTCAGATCCAAATTTTCGGAAATTGCAAAAGTCACAAATGATACAAGAAATTATGTGCTGGTGTAGCTTCATTAGTTTCTTCTCAGAATATCATTTCATAGAGCTGAGATTCCCACCTATACTTTTAAGTGTTGGGAAAATCCATTTTAAGTAGTCCAACTTGGGTCGATCTAAGATCTTGAAAAAATTCATTCTTTGTGCATACTTTACCTTATGTTTTGGCTGTTTAAAAAATATCTCTTCAATTTTCTTTTTTTTTATTGTACCCAATTTACAAATGGCAACCATTTTTGTTTTACAACATGCACCACACACTGTGCCACATGTTTGGCATTTGTAGACATTTACTCTTTTCTAAATTATTCAGCTCGGGATTGGTCTAGCATTCTAGATCGTGGCTGAAGCAAGTTAGATTTTTAGAGAGTAATTTCTCAAAGAAGATGTAGTCACTGCCTTAATTTTTCTGTGCTTTTACACATAACAGTATTGTTACTATTTGTTAAATATGATAGGTAAGTAACGTACTGCTTAAAAATTACATCCTCTTAAAAATTGGATTTTTTTTTCTTTTTTCCAAATTTTCAACTGTAATATCTCTGTTGCGGGACCAGATAAAAATCTGAAAACCGCACACATACTCGATTGCTATGATACCAGATACAAAACTTCAGCAAAAATTTCAACTTGAATTGTAAACTTATGGTAAAAGTGCTTCATTTCCACATTGAGGATACATTGTGATAAGTAGAAATTGAATTATTTTGAAGCTATTTTAAACTAAAATCTGATTTAATATATTTAAAATCTTGATTTAAAATATTTAATTATTTTTATTATTAATAAACTTGAAAGTTGTCTAATATATAATTTTGATTATTACTTTACATTGAAACAAACTTGACATCTACATTTATAATTGAAAATATTATCATTTTGATGTGAAAAGATTAACCGGCCAATATAAAAATAGTTTATAAAAGATAACAAATAAATAAATTCAGCGTTTTGTTTATTTTTTGTGTTTAAAGTTGCCATTGTGCTTATTATCCGCTATACAGATAGTTGCACAGTGCTTCTTAGGTGCAAATAACGCGACTGAATTTACAAAGAAAGCAAGAGAATCAGCAGATATTGGGTCCGTGTCGTTTAAGAAGGTACTGTCAAAGCTACTGCCAAACTTGACCCCACACCTCTTTTCATTTCTTAGAATATTAACAATATATTTGTACTGCTGTACCCTTCCATTTTCTTCTGTTTGTTAATTTCATTCATTGGCGTGTGCAGCTAATACTAGATGAGGGACAAGTACATTTGTGGTTCCCATTGGGCCTCCTTTTCCTTTAAACTATTCTTTTTACATATGACATAATTTTCTTGTAAATAAATAAATAAAAATAAATATCGCTATAGTACACGTCTGCTCTGAGATACAGATCGCTGTTCTACGCATCTGAGGTTACGTGCTTTCGTTAAGATAGCCGGGTTCTTTTATGCCCTGGCTTCACTTGTCTTGACGTCACCTGTTTCGTACATGTTTTATCTTCGCTTTCTCTCTGCGTGACACCCACCTTCTGAATTGACACAATCTAGGGAAATGAAATAATAAATTGAATACTATTATCTTGTAGAATTGATTAAATATTTAACCATTTACAGGTTGTTAGTTGGTCTGGAGAGCTTCTTTCCCAAATATTGAGTATCAATTCACGAAGTGTCAGAATTAAGAAAATGTGACAATGAAGAATTGATAATAATATTTATAGAAATAAAACATTTTATTGTGTTGAGCTACAGGGCTCCTTTTGAAATTATCAGGATGGCCATGTCTCTCCTGGCACTACCTACATGCCGTCTTTCATTCTTCCATTCAATGACGTCTTTATTTTCCGTGGTGAGGTTCAAGCCTGCTCTTCTTCTTGACCATGCAAATGTCACTGAGGTTCATTCGCTATCTAGCTGTGAAAGAAGATATCACTCTGGCAACAAAATAGGCTATTTGGCTCAGAGGCTTCTCTTAGGCTTCAGAATGTTTTATATTGATTAAATTGCAGGTTTTCAGTATATATGAGATGGAAATTTTGTCATTTTCTCTCTTCCCCTCCCCCCTCCCCCCTGTCTCTCCCACCCCCCTCTTCACTCTCGCCCAAGGAAGGTTTGTGGCAGAATTTTTCACCCTTCAAAATTCAGTTTTGATCAGATTTGCTCCCCTGAATTTGGTCTGTTACACTTCTTCTAGGTGCTACAAATGAAGGAATATCTTTATGTTGATAGCCTGTCTTCGTGAGCTATTTGATATCGGGACACTACTCCATTCTCCTGCATTTGCTTCTCTTCACATATTTTACATCAAGTCAAATTATAGAATGTGCTTTGTTTATAGCTGTCCAGAACTGTTCTAGATAGCCTGTTTAGAAAAGAAAAAAAATATGTTGGTTATATTAGTGCTAGGTATCTAGGACCCTTCATAAGTTTTAATAATTTATCGATATTTTTCTTGATTGCAAGAAAATCCTCTCTACCTCTTCATTGTCATCTTGTAGAAAACATATGTTTGTAACTCTGTAATTGCACTTTTCTAAGCCTGTTATACATTTACTGTTATTTCAGCATGAAATATGTCAAGAACAAGCCAGTACGTGATCTTACTGGTGATCAATACTTGAAGTTAATTATAGCTGAACAGGATAAATTACTCACAGTTCAGCTTTCAGATCAGTTGGATGGAATAACTAGCAGTTCCTATATTGAGGAGGCTAAGCAGTTGTATTATAGGGTGAGATATCATACTTGTATTATTTAAGAAGGAATTTTTGAAGTTTAAATAGAGAATTCTGTTATTTTTAGAGAACCTTGAAATTACATGAACAAAAGTGTGGCAAGTTCATTTTGTTATAATCAATTCTAGTTCGTTAATAATAAAGGTGCAGTTTTGTTTATTAATAAGTATGAGAATGAATGGTTTAAAGCTATGGAAACATTCAAGTATTGTTCTCATGATAACAAATTCTCTTAACCTTCCATTGCTGTACCTATCAAATACATCTTCCTCAGATTATTGATTATATCAAAGGTAAGTTCTGGAGTACCACTTGTACAAGGAATGCTAATAAAAAGACACAAATTTTAGTATATTAAGAGAGAATAAAAACAGAATAGATTCTCAAGTGTTAATGAGTAAAGGAGATAAATAAATCATGATTTATAGAAATTGGTATTTTATTTTAACATCTCCCATGAACACATGACTAAGAGACACAGTATTACTGTTGGTGTTTGATTTATGGGCTCAAATTGTTGAAGATTAAATGACATTCAAATACGTAGATTCGGTATTCGTAAGCATTTTTGCCATGCAACAAGAAGTCGGTCCTCTAAAATGTGCTTTAGGAGATGATAGAAAATACACATTCTCTGCTGTTTTATTCAGTTTAAGAAAGCAATATTTGCAAAAGATGGCTGAAACAATAGAAGTAAATAATTTGCAAAATAATTATTATAGTTGGAATCATTACAAATAATGTCTATGATATGAGATTATATACCTGTGGTTTGTTGTAGCATATCTAGTTAATTATGAGTTTAATCAACATAAAATGACTAAACTGAAATTACTCACACTTTTAATATAAATGAATAACATGTTTATTTTTTGTTGATTTCAAAGAAGGTTAATAAAGAAGTGTAAGGGTAAGTTCATTCATTAATCTTGGGTGGCTGTCAAAACATGTTGTAATAAACATGAATTATACAGCCGAAAAATGGATGTTGTTGTTTTTGTGTTCTTTTCCTTTATTTCTTTTTCTCTCTCTTCTCTTTTCTAACTTCAAATCTTTTTCTACGAAGTTAAATATTTAGCTTCAAACAATGTATCAAAATTCTTCACAGAAACCACAAATGAATTCTTAATATTTGAATTAAATGAAGAGAAATTTAGAAACTCATAACCCTCTTTTGTTCATGTTAATTTTGTCAAGGAAACAAAATGCAAATTTGCATAAAATGATAAAAGAACAAGAAATAAAATTAACGCAAATACAATTTGAAAATGTTAATCTTCTTTTAAGTACAGTACATTGCTAATGTTTTTTTATAAGTAAGTTCGACTATTATGTGAAAATATACAATAAAACCTCTTTTTACATCATTTAATAAAGTGTAAAATGGAGGAATCTTAAAGGAAACAATTAGACTAGGCGAGTTTTTATATTAATTTACTGCAATGGAAAGCTATGGTTTTTACTGTTTTATACGTTTGCCCCTTACTCCTAAGTAGAGAAACATAATTGTGCATTGGCAAACTTTATAATATATATATATATATAATATATATATATATTATTATATATATAGTATAATATATTATATATATATATATATATATATATTTATATATATTATTATATAAAAAATATATATATAAAGTGAGTTACACATGTTCTTGATATAGAAATTACTTCCATTTTAACACATAGTGTAGGCAGAATCCGTGTTTTGTGGGTTTTTTGAAACCAAAAAATCTTTTGACAGCAAAACAATCTGTTTGTTTATGATCAATGCTAGCACCAAATCAACACAATCGAATAGAATTGATCAATATTTAGTTTTGTAGAAATTTGTACTGTTTTTATTTTAATTAAAGTTTAAGAAAATTAAGATACTTGTTTTTAAGAAAATATTTTATTATTTCAAATTAAGAAATCTTGTAAATAATTTTGTGGTTTGTGCTATAAATATGGCTTTATTCATTTACATTTTCTTTTTTTTTTTTCTTCTTTTTTAGGATGAATTCAGTAAAAATGTACAGGAATGGAATGCATTAAGAGTAGAATGTGTGGAATTGGCTCTTACCCGACTACTACTCCCTGAGATTCGCAAGGAATTACGTCTGGCACTTCTTTCTGAAGCCCGTGAATCAGTTCTTAAAACATGCTGTCGTAAATTATATAACTGGTTGAAGGTACCAGTATAATTTTGATTTAAATGAAATTAAGATTGTATCAGGGTCTTTATGCCTTTTCTCATGTCTTTATTCTTCAGTTTTTATTTATTTTCTAAGAAATGTATGTAATGATCTTCTGTTGTTTGAAATACAAATTTTTAATTTGTCTAAAAAATATAATTTAATATTTTTTATTCATTGCACATCTAGTCACAGTATAGCTCTTAGCTCAAAGTTGTAAATGATGACAAGAAACTGCAGGAGGTGCTAAAGTTATGATAGATATATATTATATGATATATCATATCATATGAAATATATAGGGTGAGTCACATAACTTCATAATTTTTGCACCTCCTGCAGTTTCTGAACGGTTGAAGTTATTGCAATGCAAGTTTCATGGAATTTGCTTGAGAGAATGGGGCTAGTCGATACA